ATTCATCTCACCATCTAACCTAGGGTTTGAGGGGTGTTTCTCAATCAAATGGTTCTCTAATGGATTGCAAGAGTTCAAGCTTCAAGGTTATGTCTATGATATCAAATATTTGTGGTTCAAAGAGTTTCCTCACTTTATTTAGGTCAAACTTTCCTCAAAGTTGGTGGTGGAATTCATCAAGAAGATTTATAGGTTCATGTGTTTATTTCCATCCCTTCTTCAACAAGTTTCATTGAGACTTTAGTTACATATTTGAGTGTACTTCAATATAACATCATCTCAAGGCCTATTGTGATTCATCAATTTTTCTTTTGCCAAGAAAGTTCAAAAGATTCAAGTTTGGTTCGACAAGTTTGACCTAATTGAGTAAGTGTTTGATTCAGTAATCACAAATGCATAAGTCTCTCAATTTTCAATATTTTGAGTTTGTTCTTTTTGATATATATTCTTATCATCGTCTACAACAACCTATCTTCACATGACAAGATCCAATTATGCAAGAAAAATCATCAAAAGTTGAAAGGGGTTTCAAGTCATTTTGACACTCTCTGAGCTAGGGTTTATTGACTTCCTAGAATCATATCTTGCTCATTTTTGATATTTTTTATTGATTCCAAAACCATGATTCTCTATAAAGGGTCCTTAACAAGCTCTCTTCAGGGATCTAAGGCTAATTTTGAATGGAAGGTCACTTATGGTTGAGAAAGATTACAAGTCTCTTTGAAAAACCATAGAGTTTTAGGGTTTGACTTCAAATGATCATAAATTGGTCACTTTTTATCTCCTTAAGCCCATTATTTTTCCATAATAACCTTTTTAATGTCTACTACAACTTTGTTTCAACGCATAAGACTTGAAAATGCTTAGAAAGTTGTTTAAGATTTGAAAAGATTATAGGTCTTTTGTGAATTTTCCCAAATTTGTTCATCATCTTCCAAAGACCATAACTCTTTCAATTTTTATGATTTTTGAGTGATATCAATTCCACAATTCAATTCAAGAGGTCTACTTCATCTCATATTCAAATATCAATATCAAATTTTGAATGGAAGATCATGTAATTTTGAAGAACATTATAAGTCATTTTGAGGTCCCATACTTAGAAATATTTCTAAGTATAAAAGTATGATTTTTTTCCCACGATTTCAAGAGGACATAATTTTTTCAGATCTCCAAATGATGTCTTTCTTGGCACATTGTAAAGATTGTAACTTTATATTTTTAATGCTTTAATAATAATGTGATAAAGCCTCCTAAGTTGTGTACACCATGGATCCAAAGTTGGTGCTTTGAAACTGAAAAATTACTTGAAATCAGAAGCAAGTTTGTGAAATGTGGCTTCTAATCACCAAATTATCACGTGATTTTCATTTAAAAATGATTAGCAAAGATGTTTGAATCATTTAGAGCATCAAAACACATCGTTTTGGATGAGTTTTGATGCACATGTGATCACTTTTTCCACATGACACATGTGTGCATAATTTTCACTCAAATTGCATCATTCACCTCTCCTCTTGATTCCATTCACTTCTTCTATAATTACAGACCATATTCCACTCATTTTCACAAGCTTGGACAACCAAAATCACCCTGCCAAACTCTCTCCATATCTCACATTTCTGAGATTTCGAAATCATAATTTCCTTCCTTCCAGCTCCAATTTCTTTATTCATTCTTCTTCTTCTTTTAACTTCACTGAAGCTAACAGGAGAAGAATTATGTCTTGAGGTGCTCTAAATCGTGCAAGTCAAGTCAAGTTTCAGAGAAATTTCTTCATACTTCATTCATGTAGTTTAAGGCATCAATTCTTCTAACTCAAATTACTTGAATGATCTATGATGTTCATTGATGCTTGCTGATGGTTTAATTTTGATTAATTGATGCATCTGTTTGCGAATTCAAATTCTTCAAAAACTCTCTGATTTTTTCCAAATCGAGTGAGCTATACTTTAAATAAATTCTTCGCGAGCATATGGCCGTGATCGTCTCAAGTAGACGCATCTAATGGTACCACTATGAACGCGTACATTTACATATTTAAGGATATGCGTTTTCCCCTAGTTGTAGGAGGCTCGAGGTTGAAGACGACCTACGTACTGTTCTTCAACCAATGATACACAGCCAAACATTTTAATTTGATTGGTTGTATTTTTTTGTGTTGCCTGCGTGCGTTTCAGTGATGATCACCATACGTCCTAGCTTCAGCAACCTTGGATTTTCCAGCGAGTATAAGTGAGCTGAACCCAACGCGTGACATTATTTTGATATTATTTTTATTTTCTATTTTTTGATTTAATTGTTTTAAAATTCAAAAATTCATTTCAACTTCTAAAATTCTGAAAAAATTATCAAATATACTTTTGATTTGTTTTCTTCACAATTTTATTTTGTGATTTGATTTTTTTTAAATAATTTTTCACTTTATTTGACTTGTTTTAACTGTTTAAAAATGCTTTTCTTGATTTTTAAATTCTAAAAAAATTATGGAAGGATCCAATGACCTCTTGACAAATATTGGTGACCTTATTTTATTTTTATTTATGATTTTACTATTTTTCACAAATTTTGATTTATTTTTCTTATTTCTTTAAATTTCAAAAATAGTTTTTGACTTTAAAATATTCTGAAAACTTTTGCCAACACTTATTGACTCATATTTGACTTCTGATATTTTTTTAGAATTTTATTTGGTGTTTTAATATATTTTATGTATTTTACCAATTATTTCCCTTTTATTAATCATTTAAATATTGTTTTATTAAATATATTTTATTATTTTTGTTTGGTCCTGATTTGAGTACTATTTTAGGACAAGTTCCTCAACCTCATTGGATCTTGGATGTTGATGGGTTGAAAAAACTAAATCCACCAAAATGGATGAATAATGTTGATGATATTTGAAACTCTAATTGCATCTGATACAACTCCTCCCTCTTCATCTTATCCCTTTCTTGTTTTTACTTATGCCACATGTTGTTGGAGAATGATCTACATATCATTTCTCTAACATGTTAGTATATAGATTGCTAATGATCGGCCTCAAAATAGGTGTGACTTCTACATAAGTCCACTTACGATTGCTTAACATAACGCTAAATTTGTCCTGATGAAAAAATGATCATTCGTGGCCCAAACCTATGTTTACAAGTCCAAGAATGTATAATTTGAGACCTTTAATCCAAAAACTTTGAATTTCATTGTTAGGAAGCTTTGATCTTATCAATCCTCTAATGAACTTCATGAACTTTGGTCTAAGTGAATCATTTGAACATCGTTGATCATATGTGGTCGTTTTGAGTATTTGAAATGAATGATATACTTGACAAAAAGCAAATGAGACTTGTTGTTGAGAAGCTTTGATTTTATCAATCTTCTAATGAGTTCTCAAATGCAAGCTTCAAGATGGTCATTTAACTAAACTCTAAGGTTACTTGGACTGTTTAGTTACTAGGCATTGTGGAGTTGTGGATCTCTCGAACTTAAGATTATAAGTCTTGATTCTTTGGAACCTTGTGACTCTTGTTATTTTGTCTGAAGTTTTTGAGGTTTACTCTAAGGTATTGGGTTGATTTTTTTGTGCGCAGGTTATTCTGATTATGTACTTTACTTGTGATTGAGAATGCCTCTGTATACAGCCGTTACTCTGCCCAATTTTTGTGAAAACTTAATTCATCTGAAGCTTGGTATTTCTCAGAGATTTAGTATTTTTGCTTTCTTAGTTTCAATCAAAAGGATGAGAATTCTTCATTGATCTCTTATGTCAAGTGTCGACTTCTTGTTGGTTAGACCATTTTTTTCTTAGCTATTACCTTATGCTTTAGGATAGTCCGTTCATCTCCTCCAATCTTCTTTAATTTCAAAAATCTTCTCCTCCTTTTCAAAACTCTTCTTGTTTTCTAACTCGAACCACTTTCATAATAAACTTGGACTTAGGTTCATGTATTTTCAATTTTTTTTTCTGAAATCAAACTTTAATCAACTTAATCATACTTTGACATTTTTTTAAAAGACTAAAAATCAATTAACCTCATTCAAATCATTTTGTCACTTTGGATTTTTACTTTAAATTGTTCTCTAAAGATTAGACTCTTGTCGATTCTTGTAGTGATGCGAGCTACTATACTTCTATGATATGTAGTAAAGTGAGATATTTTCCACTTGGGTGTTGAGTGAGACTTTGTTGATTTTAAAATCCAGGCTATATCCTCCACTTTGAGATGATGCAAACTTTTCCTTCTTATAATTGTGTGTAGTAAGTATGTCTTCCACTCGGATATGACGATGATGTCTCTTCTCTTAAAATTAACCAACACACATGTGTTTTAAATTTTTTAAGGTGAACTACGAGTATCCTGATTCCCTATTGCACGGAAGATGGTACATAGGCACTAAAGGTTCACAACCGCGACAGATGCAAAAATTGTAAAAAAATACTTCTTTTCTCATCTCCACCATTTATTTTGTATACACCTTTTATAGCCAAAAAATACACAAATTTTCAAAGAGGTTCTTGCGGAGTACCTAGATGTTTAGGTTGCTAATACCTTCCATTTGCATATTCAACCCCAGTACCTAAATTCTCTCTCCCTCTTTTTGGATTTATTCGCTCCTTTTCCATTTTCTTTGGAAACAATAAAGCGCAGTGACGATTTTTATTTAATTTGTAAGAGTTATGTCAATCCAATAACTTAGTCTCAATATTTTTACCGTTACATTCAAATATGCATATTCGAAAACCCTTAAAACAAAATATGAGGTGCGTTCAGATATGTACATTCAAAAGAAATTTTGAGATTTTCACGAATTTAATTCAAGATATAGAAGTGGATAAAGAAATTCTAAAAGCAATTCCCTTGTGAGAATGAGTGTAGGTTGAGCCCATTGGGCTGAAAATGGAGCACGGTCCACGGATTGAAAGTAGTTGGCCGCAGTTCATCGAATTGTCCGTCTCCGACGCGTTGTAGCCACGGTTGCAGAGTTCAACTCCATTGGTAACAATGGGCAACACATCCTCCATGCTCACTCAATACGACATTGAAGAAGTCCAGCAACACTGCAATCACGCATGTAACATCATCATCACTCCTCTATTCAATTCTCACCATTTCACTTTCCCTAACAACTTTTCAATTTCTCCTTCTAGTTACGCAGCAAGAGATCGTTTCTTTATACGAGCGCTTCTGTCAACTCGATCGCAACAATTGCGGTTTCATTCCCTCCGATGAATTCCTCTCCATTCCAGAATTCGCCGTCAATCCTCTCTCTCAGGTTCGTACTTCGTATCAATCTTTCTCTAACTGGAATTGAATTTTAAGATGCGAAATGCAAATCAATCGTCGAATTGACAGAGTTTGTTGAGAATGCTGGATGGATTTAACTTCAAGGAGTTTATAGCGTTTTTGTCTGCATTCAGTCCACGCGCCACTCTCCAAAACAAAATTGAATGTATGTATGTGCTAATTGATCTTGATCTTAACATTGTATGAATTCGTTTTGATAATAGGTTTGTAATTTTATTGGATTGGATTGTATTGAATGATAATAGGTTTGTAATTTTATTGGATTGGATTGTATTGAATGAATTGTGGTGTGTTTGTTTTTGTAGTTATTTTCAAGGTTTATGATACAGATTGCAATGGAAAAGTTAGCTTTGATGATATATTGACAGTTTTGAGGGATTTGACTGGACAATATATGTCTGAAGATCAGAGAAAGGTTACCCATAATTACAACTTTCTAATGCTTTTCAGTTATGCAATTTTGTTTTTCTTCTATGCTTTCTTTCTATTCTAGAAAAAGTACAAGAGAAGTTATTGAGATAGATCTTGAGATTAACAATTTGAATAAAAGCATATGGCAGGAGTTGATCCATGTAGCCAACCCTATTTAGTAGGATATGGCTTGGTTGTTGTTGTTGTTGTTGTGCTTTCTTTGTATGAATTGGTCTTCCACTGTTTCCTTTCTAGTTATCTAAGTTAGAGGAAACTCACTTTCTATTTCGGGTTCATTTGAAACCGATTTTGGAATTTGATGTTTCATGCCATTGACAATCAGATTAATAGGATAAGGCAAGGAGTGTATGGACCAATATATGAAATTAAGTCCAGAGAAGCTGGAAAACTACACAACAGAAGAGACAGTTTTTAACCTTAGCAGATGAGATAAAGCTTTGTTTGAAGAGTTCTACTAATTCCATTGTGTGTGTTACTGGAGGATGAAACATTTATCCTTCTATTAGATGAATGTAAAAAGCATATAATTTATTCTCTCTTAACCAAAAAAAGTGTTTATATGAAGTGTGTTATCAGTAGGTATATGTAATTGAAAATTTGTTAATGAGGCTGAGAATGGAGACTTTATTGAAGGATATCAGTTTTCTTTTGTTATTGTTATTTTACATTTCGATTGCCTAATATAGTGAGGGATGATTTGGTGTGCTTTTAACAACCTGTGATGTACTTTCCTTCCTTTGTACATACAGGAAGTTCTGGCACAGGTCCTTGAGGAAGCTGGCTATACAAAAGGTTCATTCTTAGTCTTGTCTGACTTCACGAAGGTACTGACACAACTAATATCTAGCATCACTTGTTGCACTGGAATACTTAAGTTTCATTTCGGTAAACATGTTATCAGACAAGTGGTAGGTTAGGAATAATGCATAGAGTCCTTTTGTTGTTTCTCACTATTATCATGAACCTTAACTATTTACTTCAAAGACATGGAAAGCTTTTGTTAGAATAGTTGCCTAAAATCCTTAATGCAAGTTAGGACTTTAACAGTTTTATATATCATTGCACACATAATAGCTTGGAGTGACAATTGCTCACAACCCTCGACGATGGAAATTTTCCAGCTATGCTTTAACTAAATTGACCTGGCCTTTTTCTCAAATCAAGGCCTAAGCTTGACTGGAACATATATAGGCTTATTTCCAAGGCTTGAATGTTATAAGAGTATAACATGAGTCTGAAAGCCTATTTGTCAACGAGCATTGCATTTTTGTCAACGAGCGTTGCATTTTTCAAGCTTCCTACTGGTTGAGGATGATACAACCGAATCCATGCTCGTGGTTGTTTTAGGGTCATACATCTTCATACTCATGCTGAACTTCTACCATGCACAATGAACACTGCTATCTGCTGATAATTGTCAACTGTGCCATATTTCATTTGAAAAAAAAGCTTGACCATCCCTTTTTACTGATAGATTCTTGGCAATTCGGATTTGAAGATGGAAGCTGAGGTTCCAGTGGATTAGCATGAGGATAGCAATTTCCCTAGAGTATAATTTACCCACAAAATAACCTCTCAGTCATGCCTTACTTTAGATTTGATGAGATTCTTGATTCTGATAATCTTTTCTGCCTCATAGTGAATAATAGTGTATTTTTGATTGCAAAACAAAAACTTGGGTGATATAGTTTTAAACAGTTGCGTTCAGCGCTATCCATTTCTATTTAGAAATAATGTTTGAAGTAAATATAACTATCTATTTCTATTTAGAAATAATGTTTGAAGTAAATATGTGCTTTTTTGCTGTTAAAAACGTTTTTGATAATGAGGAATATCAATTGTTTTTAAATAAATTGATTGATTGATGAGCGTACCTGCCAATAGACATTATATAAATAGAATATCAATTGTTAATGAATTTATCAATGGTTGAATTTTTTTTACTTTATGTACCAGAATAATTTTTTTAGGCCCCAAGGGATAATCTAGGAAGAAAGAAAACTCAAACACACTGGGCTGGGCTAGTAAACAAAGGCTTTAGGTTGCCCAAGACTTTGCCCCATGGCATAAGGTGATGGACGTTGCTCGCCCGACACGGGCAACTAGCCGCCCAATTGGGCTTGGGCCATCCAAAGTAGCTCCATTCACGTAGGGAATGTGAGTAGTGATGTGTCACGAATACCAACTAACTTAGGGTCAGTCAAAGAGAGAAAATTGCTCTCTTCACGATTCCAAGAGACCAATTCCTTTAACAACCACGTTTCTTGGTCGTGAAGCTAGGGTAAGCTTCTCTCTGGCTCTCTAGTCCAAGCCCAAGGAGCCTCTACGAATACCTCATTCATTGAATGAGGGAGAGAGTTCTCCGAATTTCCTAAAAACTATATACAGTTTTTCATCACTTTGCGCGAGTTAGCCCTATGTATCACCCCAATATCCCCAAACATTCGGACAATGGCGAGCTTCAAGTGCAATCCACCACCAGCAATGGCGACGATTAGTGTCCACCGTGGGGCCCTGTAAAATTGACCCGAGCTTCAAGTGCAATCCACAACCAGCAATGGCGACGGTTAGCGTCCACTGTGGGGCCCAATAAAACTGACATGAGCTTCAAGTGTAATCCACCACCAGCATTGGCGACGATGATGATAAACAGGACCCTCGTGGAAGAGAGGAAGCCCTAACTTGAGACTAGAATGCTCTACAATATATTATTCGGCGAGTTAGAGAGACCTTCGTCTCTTTTCTTCGACATAACTTCTTCATCTTGCTTTCGATCATAAGAACCAACTATATGGTATGTTTTATCTTTGCCATCATAATGCTCTATATGCAGAACTTATGGGAATATTTACAGCAACTCAGTGTGCTCACACAAGACATTGGAATTTCATTTGCACAAGAAGATGGTCAAGGGAAACCAAATGCAGCATCATTTGTGTTGAACTTGATCGGGCTAACTGCAAGATTAGTAATATTTTCTATTAGAGAGATTGTTGTAGTGATTTTAGACATGTGTGCATTAAGGTTGAATTGAAAGCCTTGGAATCTAATTCCATTTTTGCACTACCGGATTGAATTGATAATGGAAATGAGAGTGAGCAGATAACAAGAAAGCATTGATGGCCCCATCTTTCTTTGCAAACTTCAAGAATGGTTAGAACTGATGTGAGGTTAATCCTGTGGTTGATGATGGATTGCAACCAGTTCCAAAATTTAATGTCAATTGGACATAGCAAAAATAAATGTGTGAAAGACTCGATACGATAGTTAAAAGGATGCATTTAGATGGCAGACAACAACCTCTGATCATAAGGTTTTCATCAGTTTATTTGTCTCAACTAATTTGAAAAGCCTCTGCTTAAAACTTCCAAAACTAAGCAGAAAAGTAAAGGAGGCAATGAATCTCCTTGTTTGACTCCTCTTGAGCATGCAAAGTAACCTTCATGCTTACCATTGACAAAAATCGAGAGCATAACTGACTTGAGAATGGTAGAAATTCAGACACAAAATTTTGAGCAAAAACCAAAAGCATTGAGCACTTTGATCATCAAGTTCCAGTTTATGGTATCAAATGCTTTTGCTATATCAATTTTTATTACAAAAACTACCATGATAAGACTTATGTTGTAAAATGCTGATGGCTTCTTCATTTATGGGTTGGTTTTACTGAACCTTTGAGATGGGAGAATTCTCTGCTTGCTGAATTTTGTGGTGTTATTAGAGCAATTTAAATTGTTAAAAATACATCTTGAAACAAGTTTTATTATTTTCACATATTTTAAAAATGTTATTATTTTTTTATATTTAAAACAAATATAACTTGATTGAATAAAAAACAGGGATGGGTACAAAATGATCTCTAAGGATCCAACTGCAATCCTATAAACCCAAAATAGTCAAAAACGAAAACCTACCCCTAAGGTAGAAGTCTGCTTATATGAGTCCTTAGTTTAGGTTTGTCCCAACATCTTTAAACAATAGCATCAATAATTTTATTGATTGTGGTTTGCTGGAAGCTTTTGTCTCCAAAACAAATCTGATTATGGTATCTCCAAACTTCATAAATTGTCTTTGTAAATGCACATTGGGTGATCTTGCTTTCCAACCATTCTTTTTGCACTCCTCAATGAATCAAGATATTTCCTCTTTTCACCTTTGAGACATGTGATCTCTTTCAATCCATTTAAGCATCTTCTCCCAAATGACTTTAGTAGCAGGACATTAAAAAAACAAATGGTCGAATGTTTCCACCTCCCTGCAAAAACAACAATTACTATTATCTAACATGCCAAATCTATTCAATCTCTCATTTGTTGGTAATTTTCTATGGCAAGTCATCCATAGCGTGCAAACTGCTTTTTTCCTTGCAGTATTTCCATACATCACTGTTTTCCACGGGACATCCTCTTTTTGCCCGAAAAAGGCCTTGTACATAGCTTTTGTGGAATATTTATCTTGTTGCATCATGCCAGCCCAACCTGCATACTATTGACCTCTTCTCTCAAGTACAATATGTTCTTGACAATCCAAGATGTTGAACACCTTATTGAAGCCTGCATAATATTAGTTTCTTTTAAGTAATAACTATGGATCCATCTAATCCATAGGATATCTGCTTTCCGATTCAGGTTCCATAAGTACCTAACTAAACAAACTTTACTCCAAACCTGCAATGCAACAATATTCAGACCACCTTTAGTTTTGGGAGCACAAACATTTTTCCAAGCTATTGGGGACTTTCGGAAAATACTCTCAGAACCAGACCACAGAAAAGTGTGACATATGGCTTCAATATGCTTGGTAGTTTGCTTAGGGAGCGACAAGCATTGAATCTAGAAGTTACTCATTACAAAAATAACACTTTGGATCAACTGAGTTCTTCCAGCAAAATTCATGAGCCTAGAACTCCAATACCTAATCCTTTGCACAATTCTATCAATTAACCCCAAACAATTCACATGAGAAATCCTTTTACTAGATATTGGTATTCCTAAATATTTGAATGGAAGCACACCTTCCTCAAACTCAGATGCCTCCAAAATCTCCTGCTTCACCCTAGGATCAACATTACCACAAAAAACTTTACACTTTCCAAGGTTTACCTCAAGGCCTGTAGATGATGAGAAATCTTTCATAACTTTTAGAGCCAGGTCCACAGATCCATTATCCCCTCTTGTGAACAACAATAGATCATTCGCAAAGCTTAAATCAATAATTTTTAGCTTTTCACATTTAGAATGAAAATTAAAGTGTGGGTTGCAGCCCATCTTATTTAAGAGTCTATGTAGATACTCCATAATCAAAACAAATAACATGGGTGACAAGGGGTCCCCCTGCTTGAGACCCCTTTTGGCTGGGAGATAATCAGTTAGCCTGTTATTAATTTTGTACCTATAACACACAGATCTTACCAGAGTCATGGTCCAGCTGATAAATCTATTAGGGATTTCCCATTCAAAAAGAAATCTTGGATTGCTTCAATGGTATCAGCCTTTAGGATATACCAAGAAGCCTTGAAGAAACTGGCTCCATACCCATCTGCTATAGAAGAAGTCAAATCACTTATTTTCATCAGGGTCTGATGAATTTCCCTATCAGTAACAAGAGCAGCGGGGTTCTGACAATGGTCTTTATTCAACTGCTTACCATCCCTCATTACCTCTATATCAATTTTCTTTAGATTAGTAGCAGCAACACCCACCAAAGCCTGGTAGAACCTGTAAACTTCCTTCTCAATTTGGTCATCTGTCACAAGAGTATTACCATATTTGTTTATCATCTTACTTATTTGAGCTTGCTTATACTTACTTTTGAGATTTGCATGGAAGTAAGCATTATTATTGTCCCCTAGCCTAATCCAATCAATCTTGGATCTTTGTCTAAAAAGGCTCTCCTCAATATTTGCTAGCTTCATTACCTCCTGGGAACAAATTTTCACCTTCATGATCATGCTAACATTCATTTTGTCCCTTATCGGCTCCTTTTGAGCTTTACTTAGGTTCTCCCTTGCATTTCCCCTTTTTAACCCCCTTGTATGGCTTGCACTTTTCTCTGATTATAGATTGTAATCTCTATAGCTTCTTCCAAACTTTGAACACGGGTTTCCCAATAATCTCTTTGTTCCAGTCAGTGGTAGCCGCTGTCAGGAAACCCTCATCCTTAGTCAGAATATTAGGAAACTTAAAACTTTTGTTAAGTCTTTTCCCCTTATCTGAGGTTTTCCAACATAACAGGGCATGGTCTGAAACTTCTGAAGTCATGAGTTTCAAAATACTATCCATATTCTGCTGGTGCCAAGTGACATTACCAATAATCCTGTCAATTTTGGAGTAGATGGTTTCATTACATTGGTTTTTTGACCAAGTGAAATAGTCCCCCGCACTATCTTTTTCAAATAATCCAATTACGTCCATCATCCTGCCAGATCTTTATATTCCCTTTCCTGAACATTGTTTCCTCCAATCCTATTTTGAATATGTAAGACATTATTGAAATCCCCCATTAAAAACCAAGGGCCTTGCACATTGTTTGCTATATCCTCAATATCATTCCAAAGCTTCTTTCTCAACTCCAAAGTGTTGTGAGCATATATTGCAGTGCACCACATTTGGAACTCCCCTATATTGTTATAAATGCCCATATGAACCAGCTAGTATGTGCTACTATCCTCTTTAATATGAACTTTGTTGTTATCCCAGCAGATCCACAACCTACTATTGCCATGATGCTCATACTTATCAATGTACGACCAAACCTGCCCTAATTTATTTCTTATACTAGAAGCTTTATGTTTCTTAACTCTAGTTTCAATAAGAGTATCAATATCAGGGTGTAGATGTTTGAGACGGGTTGCAATCTCTCTACACTTACCTGTCTTCTTCAACCCTCTAACATTCCAAGATATAATCATGGCACACCTATTGTGCCTGCTCCTGGATCCTTCTCAATTCTAAGAGCCTCAAAAACATTATTACACAGGATCTTCTCATCATCATCTTGTAAAACTGCCTTTCCCCTTAACTTCCTGTTATGGTTCACTTGTGTCCAAGGTACAAATGAAGGCTCAATTGGGTTATTTGGAGTACTTACCTCACTAGGTTTTGGACTTGCCTTTGCTGGGACAGGTTGCCATTGCTTCTTCTCCTTTGGCTTTTCCTTCTCGCATTTGTGCCCAACCCTTTGACAAGTTTCACAAAATCTAGGTTTCCACTCAAACTATACTTTTTGTTCATAATTTTCTCCATCCTCGTTCTGGATTATGATGCTTTCCTGTTGTGGCTTTGTAATGTCAATCTCAACTAGGATTCTTGATCCCTAGTTTATTCGCAGTATATTCATATGTGAGTATCAGTTTTCCTATGGAGATTCCTATCTTTCCCAGACTTGTCGGCCCCCAAAGATAGAAAGGAATGTTAGGTAGAGTCACCCATATTGGGATTGTTCTTACCATGTCTCTCTTGATGTTAAAATCAGGATGCCAGTTCTTCACGATCATTGGCATATTATGAATTGTATACAACCATCTCATCAAGACCATTTCCCTCTCCTGTTTAGAATTGAACTTCATTAAGAAATAGCCCTCATCATGATAGAAAAGTTGTGGCAGTTGGACAAAATTCCAATATCTCATCATGAATTGTTTAACCGCATTCATGCTTAGGTCCTTACCTAGGACATACATGATAGCAGAATTCTTCCAATACATTAGCTCCTTCTCCACATCTTCATTAGAAATTATGACCACTGGCTTTCCCTCCATCATTAGTGGTGCATAATATCCAAGAACGAGGTCATTTGCTGGGATACGATTACCACTAATTACATCCACCCGCAATTTCTTTTCCTTGTTAGGAATCATAACTTCTGATTCCACTTTCACTGATTCTTCCTCTAGGGTTTCATCATCCCATTCCTCTAGCACCCCCTTCTACATCGTTTTCACCATTCTCCTTACCAGTTTTGCTCGAACTACCTTTTCCTTCCTTACCCACAGAGTAAGTCATCGGTATTGATGTATTTTTCTTGGGTCTTCCTTGCCCACGACCCATCTCCTCTAACGAATCTAGCCAAAACGAGTTGCTCACTGTTTCCTCTTCTCCTCCGTGGTCCCTAACCCTAAAGTTAGGAATTTAAACCAACACAGGAGAATTTCCACTATGAGTAGTTGCTTGCACCGTGCCAAAAACCTAACCGAAAATCGCTAAAGCAAAAGGAGTCTCTTTTCTAATAATAATAAAATGTTATTATTATTATATAAAAATAAAAATTTATAAATTTTTTTATAAAATTAACTTTCATTAATGATATATAAAAATAAATTAAAAAATTGAAAGAAAAGACAAGAATAAATATTCAAGAATATAATAAAAAAAAAGTTATATTAATGATTTATTGATATTTTAACACGGCTTATAACTTTGTACAATTTTTTTTAAGTGAACTAAATTAAGAAATGGAGAGATTAATATTTACGATACAATTCTTAAAAAAATACGAATTCACATATACATTTGATCTAACTGTACTTTTTATTTGAGCTTAATAAAACTATTTCATAACAAAGTTAACAATTAATTTTAAAAAGAAAATGTTAATTATTGAGTCAAAAAAGTTAAATATTAATTTCTGTTGTTGTTTATTAAAAAAAAATTGTCTATTAAATATAAATTTGTTTTTATTAGTATCACTAGACAAAAAATATTTACTCATGCAATATACTTCCTCTGTTTCAAATAATTGTCATAGTTGATCATTTCACATAGATTAAAAAAATGTGATAAATAAAAAAGAGAGAATAATATTTTTATCAAATTATTTTTGTTTATTATTGGTGCATTCAAATTATCATAAATGTAGAATGAGAGAATAATAAATTGAGAATATTAATTAGAGGGTAAAATTGGAAGATAAAGATTAGAATTGTATTGAAAACTAAAAGTGATAATTATTTTGACACAAATAATTTTATGAGATGCAACAATTATTTTGGGACGGAGGAGTAAGAGTTTCTTTGGAGCGCAAATTGGTTTTTTAATTTAATAACTAATAATTAATTAAGTTTAAGTAATACTAGTATATGTTAATTGAGTTAAATTAGTGTACATAAGTCATTGATATCTATAAAGAGAAAAGGGATGATGCACTGACAGTGTATATTGTTTTTACACGGTAAGACAATGAATGTCCTATATCCCGCCAAATACTATAAATTTTAAATTATTTGTATGATTTGTCACTTTAAAATATTTTTGATTGAATGTTTGCGTAATATTTTTTACACTGACACTGCACTATCACTTAAGTGAATCGTGTGTTATTTTTAATTTAATGTAACTTTCTGTCTCATCCACTTTAAATACTTGACCCAGTCCTGCCAGTTATCTATTTTTGCGGACCCGTATATCTAGGCCCAAAAATAAGAATCAATGACTACGCATCGAAGGAACATTATATAAACCCTTACACATGTGAGGGTCAAGTATTCACAATCTCACACCTTAAATCCTAATATTTTACTTGTATCTCTTTGTTCCCACACTTATTTGATCGTCGGAGTGCCTTGCAGGTACAACCCCTTTTTCTCCTCAACTTTTCAGCCAATCAAAGATCATCCTTCGGTCCACTTGCAGGTTTTGATTAACCGGTAAGATCAGTGACGTCGTCTATGAGAAACTATCTTCCCCGTTTTCTGTCCCTGAAATCTGAAAACCAAAGATTCTTTTCATTCATCAAACACGGCCGACCATGATGATCACCATCTATCTGGAAAGATTATGCTCTCCCCGACGCACAAGACCGAAAAAAGCCAGAAGCATCCTCATTTCGAGGATGACTTCGACGTTCGAGACGGGAAAATGTGTCTCCAGATTCAATCGATGCTGAACGCGACAACGAGCAATTCTTGGGCGGACAACACCCCAAGAACCCTGTCGAAGACCTGTCAAGGATTCTGCAACCGGTCCTCATTCTGAAGAACATCGACCCGACCATAGCAACACTAATTGCTACCATTAACCAGACCAACACCCTCATCCTCCAACAGAGAAAAAGGATAGGGGCTTAGGAGCAGAAACAATTAAGATCTTCTCCTCGGAGACACCGATGACACGACTCCCCCAATATATCACCACCTAGGCGTGGCCGTCAACCAACAAGAGAGAATAACGACATTTATTTCCGCAAGAAACACGACCGTACATCTCCCAAGAAATAACAGGGCTCTTCGTCTTCCAAAAAGTTCAAGAGCGACCACAGGGTCAACCGGGTCCGATCACCGTCGCCCAAACCAAGATAGCAGCAAAGGAGCCCTTCTCCTTAACGAGACAACGACGCCCAACGGGGGAGAAACCATCACTCCCCACCATCGTCCCTAGAAGGAAGAGACAATGATGAGCCCCACGGCCCATTGTCGAGGGAGATCACATAAGCGCGACTCTTATTCAGGCTAGAGAAGCCACCCCCACTGGGGTCCTATGACAGTACAACTGATCCGGATGACCATATAGAGGATATCGACGCCCTCCTCGATTACCAATGAGTGAAGGGCGCGATAAAGTGTAGACTATTTCCAACCACCTTAAGGAAATGTGCCATGGATTAGTACAAGAGTCTACCCGACGAGTCCATTACCTCTTGGAAATTCCTGGGAAGGATATTCTCGAGGAACTTCACCGCCTTCCGCTGACATCTGAAATCAGAAGTGTCACTAGAAGCAATTATCCAGGGCAAAGATGAGGCTCTTCCAGCATATATCGAGCACTTCAGTAAAGAAGTCGTACAAGTCTCAACGACCGATGCTATGAAGAAATACCTTCTCAAGCGCGAGTTCAATCCCCGCAGCAGCTTTGCAAAGGTTGTGGGCATCGAAACTCCAGCCACGCTCGACTCCCTCCTGCTCAAGGCTTAATTGTACATTCAATATTAAGAGAAGGAGATAGCCATCAATGCAAGAGACTCAAGGCACAACAAGAATGCCAAGTCCTCGAAAAGCAATGAGCCTTCGATATCCCGTCAGGGGGGGGGGGGGAGAAAAGAAGTGGGAGACAAATCCCGAGACTCCAAAGACTACTAAGGGCCTGCTGGCCGGTTCCACGACTACACCCCTTGAATACTTCGAGGGAGCGTATTCTGACCGAATGCTCCAACTCAAAATTTAAGCAGGTCGAGGTACGCTTTCCTCGCCAGACATCCGCCAAGTCTGGGACCAAAAAGAGCAAGTACTATAGGTTCTACAAGAGCCATCAGCACTGTAACACCCCAATTCTACCCCTCGTAATTAATAATAAAATCAGAGTTTCAAAATTTCATCCAAACATAAATTGAGGTATCACATATTCATGTTTTTCATCACTTTGCATTATAATGCACATCACAAAATCAAAAGTCGGATATACCGATTCATAATATAAATCATCATATAAACATATGACTAATTACAACACAGCGGATATGTTCACAAAATGTAAGTATCATCATGTTATCATCAATACATAAGGTCATAAGATAATATACATAAACTATCCTATCAAAATAATAACGTCGCCCAAATCCCGAGTGTTACTACTATCAGAGCAGAGCGACTCAAAATAAAGAGACTCGAGCTAATCCTCATCATCCTCGCGGATCACCTGCACGTTACCAATATAAAGGCTACGGCGAAACAAGTAAAGGGTGAGATACTCTAAAACATATAATTAAAGGCATGATAAAATATATAAATAGTTTTGGAATCATAAATGATATAAGATTAATAAGAATATGTCAACAAATATCAAAATCTCACATACTTTAAAATCATCATTTAGTGTATAAAATCAACACTTTAATTTCATCACATAATCACCATAATCATATCAAAACAAAACATAAACTCCATTGCCATAACTCATATCGTCGTTTTACCGTCATGTTGTATTCATCGCTTACTCATCATGAGATCATTACATATATTCACTTTATGTTCAACACAAAAATCATCACAAACAAAGTATCATATAACATTGCAATTCGTCATAAGCCATCAAATAAAACTCAACGCCAAAAGACTCAAACATAAACATAACCGACTCCATGAGACACGACTATGTTATGCATGTGGTACCCGTCGCTTTGTCCATAATTAGGGACATTCGGCATAAAAGCCCATCGTCGCTTTGGCATAAAAGCCCTCGTCGCTTGGCATAAAAGTCCTCATCGGCAATGCAATGTATGTGACTCGACAACACGACATCACAAACACGACACAACAAAACTTCATCATCGCATATCAAAATTGGTATAAAACCCACGTCGCCATATTTATCCACATCAAGATAAACATATCATCGCATCGCATATCATCAAGTATTCATTATAAATAAACCGTCGCAAACACCATATTTAATCACACCACATCATTATCAAATAATTCACTAAATTTCAAACACGGAAAAATAGTCAAACATCAATAATCATCGCGAAAGTCATTCATAATAATCGGCACCAATCATAATCATTAACGTCGCAATCAGATTGTCCATACGTGACTTAAACCGACTAAAACGCAACCCGGTTCAACTTAACCGTAAATTGACTTATTTCGGGTCGCTCCATTAAAAACTCATAATCTCTAAAAACTAACCTCACCACGACGTTCTACACGTCAAAATTAGCTAGCACGTCAATTTTCGTTAAATTCGGAGCAACTTGCTCCATCGCCGAAATTGCCGAAATCGGGAAATCGGAAATAATCGGGTTCCAAACTAAATCGGCTAACTTATGTCATATTTGTATCTAATTAATATAAATATTTAATATCAAATTAAGAAAAGAAAAACAAAACATAAATTAATTTTCTAAACTTAATTTCAATTCGATTAA